GATTTTAAAGTAGAATATATTTTTATAAGAGTTTTAGATAGGGTAGGAACTTTAGGGTATAATTTAAAACTCCATCATATGTGTATATAGTTGTCCGCTCAAAATACGGTTTTAAGACATCAAAAGGGTGTAGTAATACTTTAAGAGAGTAAAATCCTTCGACAAGAAAGCATGGTATTTTTCGTTGAAAATGTTTATTTCAAGTTTTAACCATCCCTGATTGATCAAAGTACTACAACCTACTTCTAATTCAATTATATTCAGCAGCTAACTGGATCTATCAGTTTTTCGAAAATGCTTTTAAATATATAAAGTATGTATTCTTTCTTGGATATATGTTTCTAAGTTATATAATCCATTTTATAATATACTTTATTTATTTATTTTATAGACTCCCGAGATCGTCCTTATTACTGATTGTTTCAGCCATACTGTAAGTTGAAACATATATTATTACTTCTCATTAATCTTCTCTCAACATTTGACCTTCAAGTAAACCTATTACAAAACTTAGAACTAATGCAATGTGGAAATTCAATAGTTATCCATAAAATCACAGTTCAGTTACCAACAAGTTAAAACTGTCATCTGCACACGTACCACATAATGAGAAAGATAGGTGACGTACAAATTAACTATGGGTTATTGTTTATTTACCGAATGGAATAATGTTTGAAGTGCGCGAAAATTGTTCAACCCACAAAAATATATGGTTATGAAAATTATGAAATTAATATTATTCCATGCTATCGCTTGTAGGTTTACTCTCCAACAAATTAAATATTTATATATTCTCTCTATATATAACCTCTTTCTCATCGTCCAGTCTAATTGATGAGTTCTGGTATTGAACGAAAGGCTTCTTGGGCAGTGACTTGTGGAAGACAAAAGATTGATTTGAAATGTTAGTTGTCCACCGCTTTATAGACTTATAACGCTAAAATCCGGGGTTCGATCCCCCCGCGGCGGACAAAGTGCAGATAGCCCATTGTGTAGCTCTGCATGACGAAACCAGCATCTACATAATCGAAGGGGAACCTTACTTTCCATAATATTTTTAAAAGGAGCTAATTCCCGGTTGTATTTTCCAATTTAGGGTATAAAGGGAAGGAAAGTTGTGGACAAATGTGGAATAATATCTGGAATTATAAAGCAAAAAAAAAAATGTGATGATTAAGAATCTATCAACTTCCACTCTTACTCTACCTCAGATACAGAATAGGTTATAGTCAAGTATTAAATAAGTGTAAACCATAAATCATTCACAAGGCTAGATATCTATCAGATGCATTCTATTTCTTCTTATTAAATGTTCTGGGCTGAGCATAGCCCAATAGATAGCGTGCAGGACTGTGGATCGTTAGCATCCCATTATCTAAAAGAGAAATAATAATAACTTGTACTTCACATTTTGGAGTTGTGGATGCGTTATAAGAGTGACGGTGAAATCCCACTATTTACTCAGACAAGAGTAGCCCAAAAGCTTCCAATGGGTAGTACTGTTGAGGAGCCGTCTTCCCTCTTGTCTATCTGTATAAAATTAAGCACGCATATCCTAAAATAAAATATGTTAAATGTTCGTATTCAAACCAAACTTATATAATTTTGGATTCGGTTTTCCCAACACCTTTGTATTCCATCATTGTCTGCCCCTACCTTTTATTATATATTTTATCTTTCAGCTAATTTCAAGAGGGATTCTAATAAACTGGTTAGTCAGTTCATTTATGTGACGCTCACGAATCGCATTCTAACATTTATTAAGTTTTAGGTCATGCATTTCCTTTTACAATTAACATGAATTAATGTTACATGTGGTGTTTATCAGATGTAAAGTTAGATTGTCTTCTGTGTTTTCTGTTGTTTTTTCCATTAAAACAATCTAAACACAAACTTTAAATAAGTCTTTTATTCGGGCTGCAGTAATTCCTCAATGCACCTGTTTTTCCGTCCGTGGCCTGGCATGGCCAGGTGGTTAGGGTGTTCAACTCGCAATCTGCGGGTTGCGGGTTCGAATCCCCGTCCCACCAAACATGGTCGCCCTTTCAGCCGTGGGGCATTATAATGTAACGGTCAAACCCCCTATTCGTTGGCAGTGGGTGGTAATGACCAGCTGCCCTCCCTCTAGTCTTACAATTAGGGACGGCTAGCGCAGATAGCCCTCGTGTAGCTTTGCGCGAAATTCAAAACAGACCCAAACCCAATCTCTTCCGTCAAAGGAACTGCACTTTGGTATATAAGGTTTCTTCGCGCCATAACCTGCTAATGTAAAGGATAACGCGACCATTTTGCTCGTCAGATTGCTCTTCTGACTGGATCGTCTTCATACAGAATCAGCAGTTTATTCGAATTATAACCAAGAAATAATATTAGGTTTCCCTGTTATGCTCCTTGACCATAAATGTAGAAATGAAGGTTTTTAACTATATATCAAATTTGTAAACTTCCGAGACAGCAATAAGTCGCCTAAAAAATAAAATAGACTAAACATTTTATTTGCCCAGAGCATAGAAACATAATATTTCACAGTAGAGCAAACAATAACAGTGTTGTAGGGGCATTTAGGCCACACATTTGTTTTCACCAAGTCAGTCTGTGATTAGACTCATCTTACTTGCGTAAAGATTTATTTGATAACGAAACCAATTTGTGTCGACTAAAACACTTCATATCTAGACTCATTATTGTTTTTGTCATCTGTTCTGATAGATTGGTGCTATTGTTTCTCTCTGCTACCTTCTTAATGTACAGGATAGCTATGGTACATCGTCGGTTGGCCAACGTAGAGGGCTGGTACCCAGCTTCTGACCAAAGGTAAGTCTCGTTTTATCATGTATTTAGGTTTTTACACTTCTTATATGATTTTGTTTTGTCTATGTCATATTTTTACGTACAGTCGTAAGCGTTTTTGAAACTGAACTGCCAAAGTAAATATCAATAATTTGGTTGTGAACATCTTTGTTATAGAATTGTTAAATTTCTCCGCAAGATGGCAGATATATTATGAAAGGCAAGTTAACGTAGTACACGTTCAAAAGCAAGTCACACGGAGAATATATGTAAAGAAAACATAAGACCGTATATATTTTTAGTAAGTTCTTGACTATACCAGTTTTTTCTTCACAGTTACTAACGTTTCTCTTGTAAATAAATTACCACAGCTGCTCAATCCATATCACAGAATTTGTCTAGACATCTTGAAAGATGGTTTCTTCATAGAAAACTATGAAAAAGCTTGGAGATAGACTTAACTAACCCCAAGTTACAGATGCTGTCAGCAAGGATCACAAGAAACAGTTTTCTTTAAAGCTAAACTTTTTTTTGGTTCTGAAGATTGCACGCATCTTGTGTGTGTGAGATTTCAACGTCTTTCTTAAAGAACAATTTTTAAGTTACCCTTTTCTCTAAATAAGTAAGAGAATGTTTTAATTTGTTGTTCCTAGACTGAAACAGTATCACAGAGAAAAGAAAGACAAATCAAAGATGATGACAGAAGAAGTGAACCATTTGACGGACAGTCTACAAGATAAGATCGATCAACTGGTGCTGGTAGGAAATTTAGTATTCTACATGTCGGTTGCGTCACAGACGTATGCACAATTCAGTGGCTTAGGTTCAAGTTCGCGGGAAAAACACTCGCCTTATGATTGATTTAATATTTTTATTTTATCAAGGGTGATAAAGAAATATTAAACAATGTGAACATGAAAGTTAGCACACTGACAACAAAGTCACGGTGTTTCCTCATACCACTTGCACGTGCTCCTGATTACGTTGAGCTTTGCATCCTAGAATCTCTTTCTATCATCTATACTATTCTAATAGTCCAGGAGCTAGCTCCAGCCAGAAATTTTCCTCAACACCATTTTTTTGCTGATTAACGTACACAGTACACATAGAGAGGTAGGTGTTCCATTAAGATGTCATTTAACCAGTGGTCTAACTATAAAAGATGACCCCCCCCTACATAAAAGGTAATTGGACCCCCTACATTTTTTTCCCTATAATTTTAGTTACGATTCGGACCCCTTTTTGCTCGGACCCTACTGCAATTGCGGGGGGGGGGGGTACTTACGCCACTGCATTCAATCTAGCGTTTAATCATCACAGGCCTGCGAATTTTAACTTCATAAAAGTTGTTTTGGTTTTAATAGCGGATTTTCCTTAATTCAGCTATGCAGTTTCGAAAATAATATTCATTTTTTTCTATCATATTAGATTTTTTACAAATCGAGAAGAAAAAAAATAATTTCGTTTACCATAATGAAAATTTTTTATATTATGTTTGTTAACAAAAATACAAACAAAGTGAAGAAAAGTGAAGAACATTGATGTCAAACGAATATGCATTCTCATTCATCACGTATTTTAGTCGTTTCAATGACCAGCAGTAATCAGCTATCATGCTGATATTCCACCATCCCTGATATCTCCTCTCCATTTCCCTGATGTCTTGATGAAACCTTTCCCCCTTGTTCTTCGCTGGTGGCACCGAGACTTACAGGGAAATATTCAATATTTGAGTGTAAGAAATGAACTTTCAAGCTCATATTACAACCCAACTCTTTGAATTTATCGAGCATATTATTAGCAATATTTTCGTAATTTGGGTTCTTGTTGTTTCTTAAACATTAGTAAATAACATCTTTAAAGGCAATCCACGCTTTTTTTTCAACTTTCCTCATTGTCCTTTCGAACTGTTCATCCGAAATTAATTTCCTAATCTGAGGCCCAACAAAAATCCTTTCTTAAATTTTCGCTTCTGAGAGAGCTGGGAATTGTTCACATGGATACTTGAAACAATCGCCATCTTTGTCTAAAGTCTTTACAAACTGCTTCATCAAGCCCATTTTTTGTGAAGTGGAGGTAATAGGACTTTCTTGGTGTCAACCAAACTTTCACGTTCAATGTTTTTCGAGAATACTTTTTAGACTACTTTTGGCGGAATCAATGAACAATCGCCACTCTCTTGGTTCATAAACT